CAGGTTCCAGGCCGGGTCCCGCTGCTCTGCAATGAGTGGACGAAATTTTCGGACGGAAAAGATGTCTCTTGGGGTAATTAGTGATACGCTGACCCGAGATAGCGCCGACGAGAGAAGCCGAAAGTTTGACCAATTATGGCGGGTGTCAGATCCTTTAAAAGATGCGCGCCAACTGTACTCCGTTTCAGAGCCTAACTTGACAAAGGGTTAGAGCTATACACGGCTCCCGTGAGTCAAGAAAGCAACAAAGTGCAACACGTAACAGCAGCTCGTTATAGCGGAGGCGTCCGTAAGTTATAGTAATTGTATTGTGAGATGTTTAGACAGCCGGAATTTATATTCGGCGTCAACGGGCGTCTGGTGTCTCTGCTGTATACAGATGAGAAATTTCGCCGGTGTATAGTGCAACTGCTATAGCCTGCAGGATCTTTAACGTGCACCACGCAATAGTGATACAAGACCGGACTTCGGTAAGATGCCCATCCAGACCGAAACGGGCAGGAGTGGGGATTGAACCGAGGATTTCTGGGTTCTGCAACGCAAACTTTCGCTTGTTCCTCTCTCTTTTTCTTTTTTTTTATGATAGTTGCATAGCGTTATTACACTCGGAAACCCAGTGTCACCCTGCAGGGGGCGTCCACTCCGATGGATACGTTGTCACTTACTGCGCTCCAACGCTCTGATTGGCTGACCATGCCCGTAGCTTTTCTTTCGAGACAATCACCCGAGACCGCCATATTTTGGTTGTGCACACTGAACGTATTGAGAACGAGTGCTAAGCTATCACGCGGTTGAAAATATGTTCCAATCATTGCATCGACGGCTGTGTTATTCTTTGGGCTCGGGTCCAATCACAAGCTGGAGCAACTATCAAAATACGGCAACAATCAACTTTGCGATGGGGTTTCGAAAATGATCTTGTAGTCTCGAGCGCTTAAATAAAGAGAGGTATATAGGCCCGTACACTATTTCAACGGAGGCTTCGAGCGCAAGATCAAAACCATTAAATATGCTCCTTCGAGCTCGTACAGTAGAGTTAGCTTCCCAATCCAAGAACTCGCACTCGTATCTTCTTGTGCAGACGGGCATTGCAGGTATCAAAAATTGTTTGTAGGACGTTATTTTTTATATTTTTTCACTAGGTAATTCTGGAGCCTTTATACATATAGTAGCCTACTATAAACTGAACCTCGTGCGCTCTCGTTTTAGACTGAACTGATAATGAACTAATTATTATTGAGGTTATAAGGGCGCCCTTACTGTAGAGTCGTCGACAGCCGCCCTCATGTTGGTGTGTTACCTGCAGGTAAGTGAGAGTAAGTACGCAAAACCAAGTGCAATAAAGACAGAAAGCGAGCCAAAACAAAGCGATGGCTGTATCAAAGGCAGCCAGACCTTGGTTCATCGTAAGTATGGGGCGCCAGTGATTCTCGAGAGACTAATTTTTTTCATGGGATTTACGAAACTTGTCATGTCGAAAAGTCACATGTATCGACCGATGACAAAAAAAAAATTGCTTATGGGCATTACTTCATTTGTTGCCAATTTTGCCTAAATTGTTAATATCTTTAAGTCAAGTCGGTGTAGTTTTCTTTATCATTAGGGACAGGATCGTTACCAGGTTGAAATTATATCATTTTTTAATCAAAAATTTATTTTAATTTGTTTAAAACATATTTATCTTATTTGACGAAAATAATCTAAATAAGGGAACAAGACAGACAAAGGACAAACACAAGGTGACTGGTGCGCGACCGAAAAAATCCGTCCGGTCCGGGTATCGAACCCGGGACCTCTCCATTTTTAGTGGAGCTCTCCAGCAACTGAGCTAACCAGGGGTGAGACGTCGGTAGAGCAAACATGCTTTATCAGCTGCCACCAGTCCAACACCAACAAGGATGAAAGGCTTGCGTTTTAAGGTTATGATTCTAATGCAATTAAATGCAAAGGTGCAAGCGAGCTGGACAAGAATGACGAAACTAATCCCTGGAGAAGGGGAACAAGAGGGACAAAGGACAAACATAAATCTCCAAACACAGCTAGGTGACTGGTGCGCTACCGGAAAAAGCCGTCTGGTCCGGGTAGAGAACCCGGGACCTCTCCATTCAGCCATTAATTTTTTCACGTCAAAAATACCTAAAAATTCAGGTCGGCAAAAGTTCGCGACACCCAATATTTATGAGTATCCCCGTAACCGGAGGACTACGCGCAGTCCCGGAGCTCCCCACCCTTTTCGAATGAACCGGCTCCGATGCGACATCTTCCCTCATGCGGGCTCCGATTCTGGTAAATTTACGTTGTGTGTAAGCTGCTAACTGTCTGAAAAGGAACGCTGAGACATTTCAGAAGGGAAGGAAGCCGAAAAAACATCCAGTCATCGCCACAGAGAGCGCACACCAGCAAGAGATGGGTCGACAACGTTAAGCCTTTCGCGTCGTTGCACTCGTGTGTGGCCCTTTTGAGACTCGTTTCCTTATTACCGTCGTTTTCCTGCCATCACCGCAATCTCGAATAATTTTTTTTTTTTTTTTCGTTTGATATTATTGCATTTACGTGGATTCGTGGAACGAGTACTGCTACGGTTTGGGTGACACGTGTGACAACAAGCCAACGATGACACTGGTCGATTATCGATAGACCTCTCTCCCGGCAGAGAGAGACTTCTTGGAGTTCGTGCTCAAACGTTTTCGTCACATATATTGTGGGACCCGACCGGCAAAGACCCCATGTAAACAAGCGACCGCGCTTCGACGAGAGATGCGATGCCAACTCGTTGCGGCGTTCCGCTGCGGATGCAGCGATAAACATTTGATTCGTGCCTGACGTGAACGCAAACGTGAACAGGGTTCACTTTTTTTCTCCTTATTCTTATTTGTTACTTGAGAGCTTTTGACAAAGACAATCGGTGACAACGCGAAGAAACATGCGCACGTTATCGCGCGGCGTGAAGCCATTTACAACTCTTGAACTGGACCCTAATCTTCTCACGAAGTTGTACCAAATTTGTTTATGACCTTCTTTTTCTCTTTTATGTGCGTTGTAGTATCGGCCTGGCCCTTTTCTTGATGCGCAAGCAGCTGAGTGCATGCGGACGAGACCAAGGTTGTTAAGCGAGGCAAAAAGATGGCAGTTTTAATAACCCATGCCACCAACCATAATCGAAGATGCGTATGGTTAACAGTGGTAGGGTTAGGTTCATCGCAGTGGCTAAAACTTCGATGTCGGCAGCGGCAAAAACTTACGTTGCGGACGTCGAATATGAGGCAACACCGGCGGTGCCAACTTCATTTTACAACCTCCTTTTCTTTTCTTTTTCTTTTTGTTACAGCCAAGGTAGAAATTTTGTTTTGTGCAAAGAAGCTTGGGGGTAGTTTTGAGAAAGTCAATGCAGGTATTCTGTCAGGGTTGAACAAATCTCATTAATAGCGCAACATCCGTCAAGCAAGATTTTACTGGAAGGTGTCTAACAAGTTTGTGTGATTATTGAAAGTGCGTTGTTTGCGGTTATGTGTTTGTTTATACTATGTTATTTTATTTCCTTTACCGCGTTTATACTAGAATCTTAACTGTTAGTATTATTGTATACAAAATAAGTTATATTTTGCTCAAAGGCAGCTCGAGCCCATAGGGAGAAGTAAATTAGTTGACTGTAAATAGTAAGTTTAGTACCTTTGCCACACGGAAAAGTTAATATATTTTCATTCAATGATATAGGATTTAATCAGCTCGCGGTCTTGAGTGATTATACGAACGTTGCAAGCTGATTTGTCGACCCCATAATGTCATTCGATCGAAATCACATTACGTTTGCCATGTGGCCGGGGTATCACGTAAGATTTCAGTGACTGCACGCGATAACATCGCTTACATGATCGTAAGTGACACTTGTCTAACCGTGTCCGCGTTGGCTACGTCAATCTGATTTTTAACTGTGATCTGTTTGGCTATGTCCAATCACTGCGTGTCTCGCCATTTCGTAAAAGTATTTGTCTAAAATATCCATTTTTACAGCAATAATCGCGTGACTCAATGTTTTTGACTTAAAGCAATCACATTTATTTAGCGGTGTAATATTTTGCCCGTGTAATAAAATGTTTTCTAGGCCTGTTGCTTAGTGTAGCTTTCATTTTAGCAAATAAGACACGCGCATGTGACTAAAAGTGCGTTACGACGGTCGATCCACGCGCGCCCCCGATGGCCTTCATTTGCGACGTCACGAGAAGAGCGCTACGGCCTTCTTCTCTGGGAGCTGTTGCCTCAGCCCCTCACTCACTCTCACAGTTACACTCACCCTCATCCTCACAGTCACACTCACCTTCAGCCCTTCACTGAACCTCACGGCCCTCTCGCCCCTCACACACTCACGGTCCTCACAGCCCTCACCACCCCTCACTCACCCTCAACTCACCTGTAAAGATGAGGGTGAGTGAGGGCCCTCATGAGTGAAGTTGGCCGAGGTATGAATTCACGCCACAAGTTGTCCGCTGACGCACAGGCGCACTCGCGAATCGGCCTGCGCATGCGCGCGATGAGGAGAGGAGGAGGAGGCGGAATGGGGGGGAGGAGAGGATGCCAAAACCTTTCGTATTACAGATCAAAGTTTTCTGAGACTGCCGAAAAGAAAATGCCATTGCACTTATAAAGCATTTCTTGCTTTAATAATGATGTCTTCCAGCTAAAACAGTGGTGAAAAGCCGGTGATTTATGGTAGAGAGCCGTCTCCGAAGCCTCCTAAGCGCAGCAACACCGACAAAGTAACAGGATGCGCGCGCGCATTGTCCGTGCGTAGTATCCGAAACCACGAAATTAATAACGTTTTTGCAGCAAAATCGGGAAGAGCGCAGGATTTCCGAACGGGTGGCGCGGTGGTTTCTTCTGTTCAACGATGACGACGGAACAGATTGAAATCCTTGAAATCGATCAAGACGCGCACAACATCCGCCCCGCACACGGGACCCCCTGCGCCATCTGTGCTAGTGAACGCCAACTAAACGTAGGCCAAATTGAGCGGAGGGAAGCAGCGGAGGAGAAAGTTGTCGGAACCCGATAAGCAGACAACCCGCTCAAAGCCATCATTTCCTCGGCTCTGCGTCCAAAGAGAGTGAAAAAAGAAAAGAAAAGAGTCCTAATAATAAGACCAACGCCTGTCTTCTTCGGGGGGTGCGAATTCTCACCTTCGGCTACTGGAAAACGAGTGATATTCGACGTAGAAAACCACTCCGGACTTGAGATCTTGCGTTCATGTCGCTCTGACATCCGTCGTTCCAGCTCCGCATCCGTGTTCGAGGGTTTCCAAGTTTCGTAGTGGGGGGTGGTTTGTTTTTCTAAGCCTAAGCCCCAGCTGAGCTAGCGCAAAGGGCTCGCGAATCCTTCGTACCAGCGATGCATACTGTGGTCAGGTCGCTGCTGATCGTGTCGGCTGTGTCGGCCTGCTTTTTGCGTCTCGTGGAATCAGCCGCAGTGAAGGACAAGTCCAAAGATTCCGAGGAATGGGACTTTGAATTCGAGGAGCACTCTCACGACGAGGTGAGAGTTTGAGCATCACCTGGGAAGCCTTATCTTCATCTCGGGCTTCCCAACCCCAGATCTCGAAGCAGTGACTTGTTATCGCGAAATTCTCCGACCTTATCGCGCTGTGAAGCTCAAACTGCTTCAGCCTTTAAACATTATGACGATTCAAACCTGCGCGATGATCCCCGTACTTCGGCGTCAAAAGAACGCATGCCCGTACACTACATATATATAATTTTTTTAAAGGGTGTAGTCTGACGCATCTTATTGTCGCTTTCCAAAACCAATCACTTCGATATTTCACTTGATTGCGACGCATTCGGCGATCAAGAACCGCGTTCTAGGAGTCGCCGACTCATGACGCTACGCGTAATTTTGTTTCTATTTTCAGACTTCCACGCAGAAAGATGCAAGAAAAGATCTGAAAGCGACCTATAACGCATGGTCCATCGCTGATGGTTAGTGAGAAGATGCTTCTTTTATGGACGTTTGTTTCGCTAAAGCGACCCAGTAAAGTGTTTAAACGAGCTCGCATTGCTCATCACAACCCTGTTGCAGGCGACCTTTGCAAGACCGTCCAGTGCAGGCCATCCCAGGAATGTTTGATACAGGATGAAGAAACGGCGATCTGTGTTAGTGCCAAAAAGGTGAAAAAGATGAAGTGAGTCGAGCTTTTCTCAAATTTATAACTATGCTGGATATACGGTGTTTGAAGTCAGCAGGCTAATGAACCGTTAAAGTCGACCCCTGCACGAAGCAATCTAAACTTTAAGTCAAAGGTGTATTTTACAGGTCCGTTTTTTTCTTTTAAAATTACAAAGCGTAGCTCCCTTTCTGTAAAAAAAAATAGGGTGAAAAAAATCATGAGCCAGTCCACTCTGAAGGTGGATGACCAGCGAAGCTGTTTAGCACATGACACAGATGTGACACAGATTTTTGAACAAAGGTACAAACACGTTTGCGTACAATCTTCATCGGTGGTGTTTGCCGCCTGCCGCCGCCGACATTCTGATTGTCGTTTCTGCCATTGCCCTTCGTAGGTGCGTTGCTTTTCGGGTGTCCGGGCTATGCGCGACCTCCCCAGCGGCCTCCCCATTACGAGGAGAGAAGGGAAATTGAAAATGGAGAACGGCAACTTGTCTTTCTGTTTTTTTTATATAGACCTTTCCAATGTTTACAAATCCACAGCTCAGCGTGCGATCTCCACAGCTCAGCACGCGCGTGTGCGTCGCTTCGGAAAGCGAGAAAATCACGCGCGATACGCACAAACACTGAAAATGAAACCGGCCAGCAGCCCTTTTCTGGAAAGGTCTATATACATTCGCGTGAACGACTATCGCCCCCTTCAGGAGCCGGAGGGAAATAGACGCGCAACGGGACCACCACCCCGGGAGAGAGGAAGGAAACTAGGCAAGCAAGCACTTGGAACAACGACAAAGAGAGGGCATTTTCCGTTACGTTGAGCGCAGATAGAGCTGGCGGCAAAGCACAAGAGCAGAAATCCGCAGCGTATGCGATACACGAAAAGTCCCTAATGAAATTAGACATACCAGTCCTTCATGCAAGGCTGTTGCAAATCGGAGCACAAGAATTCCTTTTGTAACGCGCTCACTTTTTTTCATTAAAAAGGCTTCGCGCATCAAGGCCGACAGTCCCTGCCACCGTTTCCGCGCTGCCGCCGCTGCAGCCGTCCCCGTTCCTCTGGTTCTCTGTTTGTCCGCGGGAGGGCGAGCGGCGCGCTGGAGTTGCGAATAGATACATTCACATATTTGCTTCCACAGCCGCAAGAGCGTTGCGAATAGATACATCCACATGCTTGCTTCCACAGCCGCAAGAGCGTTGCGAGCTATGAACTTTCTGCGAAACAAAGCATGGTATGCGAGCACATACGCCACACTTCACTAGCAAGTGCCCTCCGCACCTCTGCACGCACCCATATGTGGAAGCGACACCGATGCTCCAAAGCGCCTCAGCAGGAGCAGGCCGTTTCGTACGACGCTTACTTCCATCGCTCAGGCGTCCGTGCATGCCAAGTCGGCAGTGTTGTGCTCGCCATTACATCGCTCGCGCTTACGGTGGAATGGACTGCATAACTCAATCTAAACAGCTCTCTATTTGCATGCTGGTAAGCTCTATACAGAACACCTAGATCGCATAACTTTGCGGCTCCCGTTGGGTTGAAATCTTCTCGACCGATTTGGTGAAGCAAGATCTTCCTCCGAGGTTCATTTTCCCTTCCAGAGGGAACACTGAAAAGCTCTCCGGCTGGCTTTTCACACAGGCACGGCAGCCTGTTAGCTGCGGCATAGTAACAGCTGGGGAAAGTAATGGCGGCCGGAAGTCCAAAACCAAAAGCAGCATGTCACATGACGACGGGCCATTAGTGTGCGCGGTGGCTTGTTAAAAAAATGGCGCCACTTTTCCCAGGATATAGTGGCTTTACGTCTGAAGGTGTAGACAACAAGCGGAAGAAAGCAGACGACATGCAGACGAAATCTGTCGGCAGCAAAAACGCCCTCAATATGCAACTGTTTTCTTTTTTTTTAAATTTAATGTTATGCTTTTCTTGCTTGCATTTATTTTTAAACCAAAGGTACATTACAAAAATATTATCTTCATTATAGTAAATCATGGTTGTCGTGAGCAGTCTCAATAGGGAGGTAGCGCCATCTATCAATATGTGCGCCAAACGCGCCCCGCCGCTCGACTCAGTTGTCTGCGTCGCTGCTCACCATTGACCCTGGCAAGTTTTTGGTCCTACATTTAAAGGAAAAGAGCTATGCTTTGTAAATTTTACAAGAAAAATCAGACCTGTGAAATACACCTTTGACGAAAAGTTGATTGCTTCGTGCAGGCGTCGATTTTTACGGGGTATTTTAGAGCAAGCCTGGTAACTTCAGACACCCTATATAATTAATGAAATTATGAAACTGCAAAGTGTATAGCCTGTCCAACAGTTAAAATTGCTCCCCCACAACAGCAAAATGAAAGAAGAAATAAAAAGGCTGGCTTTTAAACATCGATACGAATCTTTCTACCTCTACAAATATAGACAGCAATCGTTCATAAACTGTAAGCTTTTGAGCTGTTTGAATACCGTTAATCCCGAGAGATGCCCCACCCCGAAGAGAAACCCACCCCTATTTTTGGCTTGATTCGCTATTTGTTTGGTAAGCTCTGAAAGACAGCCCACTTCTTGTATTCATTTTGGTTTTAAAAGCGAACAAAAGACGAGGACAGAGTAAGAAACACACGACGGACGAGCGCTCTCCGTTTGTGTTTCTTACTTGTCCTCGTCTTTTGTGCGCTTTTAAAACCAAGATGAATAACTACCAACTAGCCCAACTTTCCACTCTACTGCACTTCTTGTAATCGCAATGTTTGAATCAATGATGGCCTTGGCGTAAGTGAGGTTAGTTACCTATGGTGGGGTATAAGCGAACATTGCTGACAGGGAAGTACAGTCATCTGAGCTTCATTTCTCCCCACCGCGATAAGGGACACGACATAAAAAGAGCACTTCTTTAACTTTTCTTCATTTCACACCAAAGGTTAGCTTACCCTTAATTTTCACCCAATTTGATCTTGATTTTAGGTGGGCTATCTCTCTGGATATTATGATAGTAATTTCTAACACTTTTGTAAGGAAAGACCTTGTTGTACATGTGCATGCCAGCATCATTGCATTCAAAGTACTATTCACATATCTCTAGTAGCTGTGCTTGTCAGGTCAGATAATGTCAAAGACCGACAATGGTTATGAATGTGTAAATGCACAAGCAGGCTAACACAGCTGTTCAAGCAAACTAAGATCTGTCGGGTACAAGATGAAAAGCAATGCAGCAGACATGTCATCTGACACATATGTCTCATCCACAAAATGCTTAGTTATGAGGATGGGATGGACATGGATGGGGTGTCCAACACAAGCGCTTTTACCTTTGACATCTGCATAGTGAAATCAATCCAAATGCCTTTGCTCACTTCAGGAAAGCTTCGTCAAACTACTGGAACTCGTTTGACAAGAAGAAGAGCTCCGCAAGTTTGTCAACAACCACGAGCACGACAACTTCAACGGCAAAGCCATGGAGTTCGGAAGAAGAGGATGATGACGACGATGAGGACCAGTACCTGGACGACAGCGAAGAGGCCAAGTGCCCGCCTTGCTCGGTATTCAAGGCCGACTACATCTGCGGGACGGACAACCAGACCTACTCGTCCGAGTGCAGGCTCCAGTACCACAACTGCAGGCAGAGGACCTCAGTGCAGATATCTTGTAAAGGGTTCTGTCCTTGCAAAGGTAGGCCGTCATTCTGCCACTCTCCTCATTTTATTCAGCTATGTGCGTTGGAGCCTACAAAAGGGCCAGACAAACTCTGCGATGCAATTATTAGAAAATGCTTTCTGTAGTCTTCACAATCTCTTTCAAACATTTATGCTTTGTTTGGTTTAATTGGTTTAATTAGTGTGCATTGATGGTTTAATTAGCATGCCCGCCGAGGTAGCCTGCCATTTCAATCACTGGCAACACTCGTGTCCAAGACAGCTCAAAGCTAGCTCCCATAATTCAGAAACACAAATAAGGACCAGCTTGTCTACAAATAATGACCACACATCGATAAGAAGATTACACTTATTTAATTCATTTACTTGTACTTGTATTCACCTCAAAAACCAAGGTAAAAATTAAAGTCCGGCTCCTCTCAGGGCACTAATTTCTCCTCTTGTGCGTTGAATTCAGGTATATGTAGGCACACCTTAGATTAGCCTTATGGTATTTTATCAAGGTACATATTTCAAGTGCAAAGAGCATTGTTACTTGCTTCCACACCCAAATATTGTGAGAACTGTTTCGCGCAGCGCACGAATAATGTGTAAAACTTCCTTTTTCTCGGTGTGACAAGAAGTATAGCTTGGCTGACTTGTTTATAGTTTGACCCTAAAGCAAAACTCTCCATGTTTAATACTTGTTTTACTTAATTATTTACCGAGCATTGGCAGATGCTTATCGTTCGGGCAGGAGGTACGAGAAAAGTAAATAAAAAATAAGTGCACTGTGCAACACATTAACCGCACGACATCCACACTTTTACAGCGATGGCAGTTATGGGCTCTTCCCCCTCCCCCGGAAAGGACATCCGTTGCCTTTGTAGTCGTTGTAGTAGGGTATAGGATGTCCGTCGTTGATATTGTTGAACGCACAAAAAAGATTGCCCCCCACCGCGTGAAGCGGGCACGTAACCACAGAGCCACGCCGCGGCTTGCAGAATCAGTCGATTAAAATACTATTACAGCAGGGAGATACAAATTTATAACCAACCTTTTGCATGTCAATCATCTCTCCAGCCAATGAGAGATGTATGCACCTTGTAAGCACAGCGAGGGGCTTAGCAGGCTGCGACCTAAACCTTTTGCGCCTAAATTGCGTCTAACAATGTAGATATTGTGTACAACCGCTGAATGCGTCTGATAACACTGACATTCCTCTCGGTTCCCCCCCTTTCGTGTGAATGCTTAAGATGGGGAGGGAGTCACGCTGGTTCTGCGGATCACTGACATCATGCACATCTCCCCGAAAAGCAGATTCCTGGTGTGAATACCCCTTTAGAGACATTAACAAGCACATTCGGTTCTGTGCAGTGGTGAAAACCTTGGAAGACCAGCAGAGAGAGCTGCGGCAGAAGGCCCGGTGGGACCGCTACATTGCCAAGCTCCAGAACACCATGGAGAAGGAAAAGAAGCCTGCCAAGGACTCAAAGTCTAACCTTGGCAACAGGTAGGACAAAATTCCGACTTGGTGCATGCAGCCTTGCACGGGAATACCAATGCTGACTCATGTTTGACTGGCACTTGGTGCATTTACAACATGCCCGAGCTTGTAAACCAAACTCAGATCGAAGCCCAGTGACCTATAAATGTGATAGTAAGTTGATTCTCATGTTCATTAGAAAAGTTATAAGGCTTATTCACACAATGCATCTTTTAATTGCGCCACAGTTTAGCGAAACCGAGATTTCACGAAATCAACCTACCGTATTTTCCGGTGTATAAGACGCGGCTTTTTTCAAAAGTTCTTGCTGGTGCGTCTTATACAACAATGCGTCTTATACGCGATTTTTTTTTTTTTTTTTTTTTTGCGAGTTCAGAAATTTGAAATTTACTCGGTTGATGTTCAAGCTTGTTTCACCAAAAACAAAATATCGCTACCTGTCACGCGGTCGTAACACGGTGATACTTCAATACGGGGACCACCGCGTGCCACGTTTTAGGTGAACTCCAAGATTGCAAACATGCGGTCGTTGCGGATGCGGAGGTCCCAGGCGTAAGTGATGTGAAATGCCAACAGATGGCGACAATCACGCTTCTCGCCAAGACAAGCCAGGACAAGCCGCCTCTCTTTTTCAGTCGCCATTTTCATCTTTGTTCGCTCTGCGTACGTGCGTCGTCGTGTTTTCCTGCCATCTGCCCGGTCTTGCTACAATATGCCACCGCAGTCGCGCAAGAGCTACACGGCGAAGTTTAAATTATCTGCGGTCGAGTACGCTACCGAACACGGTAACCGGGCTGCAGGTCGCCGTTTCGGCGTCACCGAGAAGATGATTCGCACATGGCGACAGTCGTCCACCTAACTACAGGCGATGAAAAGTGGAAAAAAGGCTGACCGCGGAAAGAAGGCGCGGTGGCCTGAACTTGAAATGAAATTCGGGTGCGTCTTATACACGGCTGCGTCTTATATACCAACTTTTTCAATGAAAGCCTGCATACAGGGTGGGTGCGTCTTATACAAAGGTGCGTCTTATACACCGTAAAATACGGTATTCACACGTGGAGTTTGATGCGCGAAACCTGTGACATATTGACTCTAGAGAATTTCGACAAATCTTGTCACCTGCACCGGGAATATCAAGCGTTTCGCATCAAATGATATGAAGTATGCATAGTGTGAAGAGACAATAAGTGAATAAAGGGCAAACGCCAACCAATCCCTAAAAGATCGTAGGGTCCCAACGTTTCGGTGCCGGCTCGGCACCTTCTTCAAGGGGGCTATTTAAAGGAGAAGCAGCTTCTTTCTTTTCTTCTGCGGTGAATGTAGGGCAGTATCTTCGTTTTTTCAGTGTTTAGTTTTCAAACCAGGTGCGGTATTTTCGTTTTCTTCGAAGTTGGTTATCTACAAACGAGGATCAGCATCTTCGTTTTCCTCTATGGTAGGGGCCTGTTTCTTTGGTGTCTTCTCTAAGTGTCGTAGTCCACTGACGTATGCTGAGGGCAAGGTGCCGGAGGATCGATTAATATTTCCTGGTGTGGTCTGTATGCGCCATGACTTCGTTGGATTAAATTTAACCCAACCAGGCAGACGTCTGCAGAAATGTTCACCTTCAAATGTGAAGAGACAGTCTGCTTTATTGATACCACTCCATAAACTTCGTCAGATTCGGCTCACTGGGTTTACTAGGCCTGCCAAACACGGGAAAACAGCGAACGACAAAAAACAGGCAGATAATCTCAAAGCATTTCGGACATTTTTGCGCCGCTAATTAAAAGAAAGTTATCCCCAGTCATCATTTTTATCTGTGATGCTTGCACGATTGTCACGACTGTTGATGAATCTGCACCAACCCGTACTGTTAACACATATCACCCGCACCTGTTGCTCGCCGCCATGTTTCCTTTTCTCTTTTTAGCTTTGGCTCGGATACAGAAGTGGCCAAAAATCAGACTCCGCCAAAAGCTTGCTCTCCCTCGAAGGTCAGACGTCATAACAAACTTGAGCAGCCATTTGCAGCGTCCGCGTTTTTCCTTCAGGTGATTGACAGGCCTCGGTGAGGTTTTAGAAAATATTCCTCCAGAGGCGAGCAGCGCGTGCAACCTTTTTCGGAGGTGCGCCACTTTTTTGGTTGCTTTCACACGGTCATCTGTTTTCCGAAATCTAGTTTCGCGACACTAGATTCGCCAACAAGACGCATTGTGTGAATACCGTAGACCTTTAGAGCCGAAGAAATGTTGAGGCACCCAAAACCTTCGGACTCTAAGGAACAATCTGTGTTGAGACACTAAGCAAGGTGCGCACATCTGCTTGGAATCCCAGCACAGACTGCCTTTTAAAGCCCCAACATCGTTGGATTCTCGCCATTTGCTTGTCTCCTTCTGTAAAATGCAATGATTAGCATCTGCATGCCCAGTGGAAAAATAAACGTGCAGGTTCATTCAGGAAAAAATTCGCCATTATTTGTGGGAAGGCACAATGCCGTAAGTGCCTTGTTCTAAGTCAGCCCGTGATAAATTAAAGAAACTATTCTGCAAATTGGAATATAATTTGGAAACATGTGGCTTTACTTAAAAAATTGCTTGTTTGGATGTTGGTTTTGAAGGGCCTTTCCATCCTAAGAATAGCAATTGTAGGTCTTCGAACCTCATGCAGTATTACTCACCTTCAATTACGCTGCCATATTATTCAAAATGATTAAAATTTGATCGGGAAATTAATTCAAGCTGCTCAGATTTTGATACTCACATTTTTGTTTCGTCATCACACCTTTTACGGTTCCCCTGTTTATCAACATTGAGCTGCTCTCAGACGCCCTGTGGGAGAGAAAGCAATGCATAGATGGCGAGGCAAGTGGAGGAAGGAGCGCCCTAGGTAGACTTCCTCCTGATCTTGTTACGTGACAGCTCGTTTATCAAGCGAGTTGCTATACGAGAATTTCCAGAGCCGTTTTATATTCTTTTTTTCTTCAAATCGCGAGCTAAAATGTATAGACTTCTGCTAAGAGGTCCTGGTATTTGCCACAAGGTTTTTAGAAGAAACTGTTGTTTCCCATTTTAGGCTGGAGAGGCCCTTTAAAGAGGGAGCTCAGGCGTCAATTTGAATGTGTTCAACTAAAAATATTTTATAAAAGAGTGCAACAAACTGAACCTAAAGCAGCAGCAAGAAAATTTGCCAAGAAATGTTCAAATAATTTTCAATCGTGGAAATACGATGAAACCGAAACTAGCCTGGAACTTTACTGGTCCGTCATCTTGTTGTGACATCAGATGTTGTATAAACATCAGCGCATGGGCAGCTTGAGCCTCTTTTACCCTGCTTCATAAGCTGTTGGAAGGTCGTCACGATCAACCATGAAAAAAATGGACTATGATTCATCGAACTCGTCTTAGTTAGGCAACGACCAGCATATATTTTAATATTTTCGGTATTAGATTTTGGACGATTTGCCGTTCGCATTCGATCTGCCGGCATTGCCTCCGACGGGACATCCCCGTGGCGGCTGCATTCGCAATCCACCGACATGTGGACCCAGATGCCGCTTAGCAGAATAACATAGAAGGTTTTTTTTTGCTAACAAGGTGTGAACGGTTCTCTGGCACAGCACAAACTCTAGGAACCGACCTTCGCATCAGACTGCTCGGACCGACTTCCATCACAGAGGCTTCTTAGTGTATTTCTTTGTAGTGTTATTGCACCCCACAGCCGGTCACCAATCCCCTCCACCCTCCATCGGATGCCGCAAACAGCCTAAGCCAGATGCAATTCGCAAAACCAGAGGCGCTTACTATTACTACAACGTACAACGCTGTGAATTAGGAAGCGTCGTGTGCTCTCGGATACTACATTTGACGTCACAAGTGCCCCTGCTCGTTGTTGCCAGTAGAGTGGCAGCAAGTGATTTGGAGCTGTATGCATAAACTTCAAAATTCATTTCCTTTAAATAAAACAAATATTTTGATTAAATATTCCGTAAACATACTCACGAGTAGATATTTTATAAAAATCAATGACCATCAATATTTCGCCGGAGCCTTTAAATTATGCTTTGTTCTACAATGTATACCCTTATTCTATATTGATTCTGTTTTGTTCTCAGGGTGAAAGGAATGCCAATGGATGCCCATTTCTTTTGTGTTGGGAGCAAACAGCCTGCATGTGCCGGTGCTTTTGCTGCTTTCTAAGCTCTTGCGAGGTGTCACATGTTTCAGACATGAGGATGAAGTCGAGAAAAGAGTTGGTACGTTCCTGGCTGCTTACATACTGGCTTTCTGCTGTCTTGCATAACATTGATCAAGCTCCAATGATTTGATCATTCTTTTACAGGTTTCTGGTCATTTTTAACTAAAGTTTAGCTTACTTGAACACCACAATTAAATGAGAGCGATAACTTGCTAGTTACTGCCGCTGGTGATGGATCAAGAAAAAAAAGCTAGCGGACCACCTGAGGGGGACTCCTTTCTGCGATAATAGGAATGAAGCATGCAAGAAATTAAAGCAATTATTTGTGCATGCATAAACAGACAAACAGCGCTGCTCTAACTAGAAATATTACCGAAAAAATATTAAGCTAATTTCTGCTCATGGGTTAAATCAGTCAATCCAATTATACGAGATAACCACTAACCTTTAGGTGTTAATGTCAAACTTAAGTTATTTCATTTTTAGCCCTCAAATGCTAAGAATTGCCGCCTTGATCTTTCCATCTAACTGTAAGAACTCAAGTGGTCTAGGAACCTCCTAGTAATGAATATCAGAGTGTCGAACCGGAACTGAACCGAACCGAAATTGTGGCCGCCATCTTGGAACTGAACCGGAAAAATATATAACAATAACCAATTCAAAACGGTTCACGGTAATTTTTTTTTTTTTTGAATGAAATGAATTTTGAGAAGTAAAAATTGGCAGTTGTATTTTTATGTAGTGTTCAAATTGTCATATACTGAAGTGACACTTTTCTATACATGTTTGCAAGTCTGGTCTCAGGTCGCCGCCATCTTCCTCAGTGGGGT